TCCAGCACCCCCCGCCACGCGCGGCAGCTCCACACCCTGACCCACGGCGAGGTGGTCTGCGCTGTCACCATCAGCAGCTCCACACAGCACGTCTACACCGGGGGCAAGGGCTGTGTGAAGGTGTGGGACGTGGGGCAGCCGGGCGCCAAGACGGCCGTGGCTCAGCTCGACTGCCTGGTAAGGAGGGGTGCTCTGGCACGGCTCTGCTGCAGGTGAGGTCTGGGGTCCCCCTCAGGGATGCAAGGGGCATCTGAAAACGATGATGCGTTCGAAGGAGAGTCTCGCTGTGCGTTTCTAAGTGGGGATTGTGTGGCGCTGCTGGGGAGGGATGGTGGCTCCCCGCTGCCAGCGTGCTCCCCTGCACCACCCCGTTTGTTCCGAGCGTCCCAAGCCATTGGGGGGCTTTTACACCCACGCGCTCCCCTGGGCACTGCTTCGTCTGACAGCGCCTGCCCCAAGACAAACGTTTGCCGGTGTCACCCCCCCCCAGCCAGATACTTTGTACGGGCCAGAGTCGCATGGGCTGAAGTATCACTTGGATTCAGCTTTGTCCTTGTTTCTGCTTTTGCTTGTGTGAGTCTGGCTGGAGGGAGAACTCCCATTTCTTTTAAAAATAAATGAAATGGACTGTCAGTCCACAGCAGCTCACCAGAGCCAAGCTGGAGGCACAGCCATCACCTGAGAGTATTTTTAACCTGTGTTCTTTGAGGGTTTTTTCAAATGGGCTGCTGGAATCGGAGTCCCAATGCCTGCTTTGAACAGCCCAAACCCAATTCTTCTCCTCGACTTGCTGGCCTTGCAGCATGGGCAGCCTGACAAATATTATTCCTGGACAGTGCTGACCTTGAAGGTACAGATGCATAAACAAGGAAATGACTGAGTCATGATAATTTCAAGCTGCATCAGAAATTCAGGAGCAGCGGGGAAAATGGTGTTTTCGTGCTCAGAGCTGTGGGCTGTTGCAGCCCCGTTGGAGCTGCCTCCCCAGCTGCCCCTTATCTCCTCCAGGACTGCCTGTGTGTGTTGTGTAGCTGCTGGCAGGGACACGGTGGTGTCAGGGTGTCCCCGAGGCTGTTCAGTAACTGTTCAGTGCAGTAACAAACTGAGGGGCTCCTCTGGGGGCTGGCCAGAGCGACGGCTCTGGGCATGGGATGGAGTGGGCTGCACAGCTGCCCCTGCCCCAGCTCTGCTGTCCTAGGAGGGTGGCTGTGGGTCTGCCCCGCTGCTGCTGTTCCTGCCCTTGGGACGAGCTGCTGGCCCTGGGGTGACCAGGCAGCCTGGGATGTGTGCAGAAAGGCTGGGGGGGAAGGGGTTAATGGGGTCTTCCCTGCTGCACCCCAGAACCGTGACAACTACATCCGCTCCTGTAAGCTGCTCCCTGACGGCCGGAGCCTGATCGTGGGGGGGGAGGCCAGCACCCTCTCCATCTGGGACCTGGCAGCCCCCACCCCCCGCCTC